GAAACATGTGCAGAGGTAGCAGGGACCAGGCTGGGGAGGGCCCTCTCCTCAGTATGGACCTTACCCCATGGCCAGGGCTGGCACAGATGGTGGCCCCACTCAGTCCTGGCTACTGGTGATGGCGTGTGACTCCAGCCAGTATCCTCTGATGGTGGGGTGTCATGCGCAGGCACCCAGCCAGGGCCCCCCACTCCCCCATGGGCAGAAACCAATGCTGCTGGAGGCCAGCGGTGTCATGGCCAGCTGTACCTTGTGGCTGCCCCTGGGGCTGTGGAGCTCGCGAGGCAGGTACTGGCCAGGGCTCTGAGCTGCTGGTGGAAACTGCAGACATGGAGCTCAGCACAACAGGCAGCTGAACCCCCGAGGGGCCCTCCTCTGGTAATAATTGCAGTTGGTCTTGGTGACCCACTGTGCCTGCATAACCTTGATCTTTATGTGGCACTGCTGCACCAACAGGTCGTGCCTGAAGTTCTGCATCTGGCTTGGCAGTGCCTCATACATGTGGGCATCCGAGTGCCTGTCCCGCTTAGACTAGTGCTGCACCTCACCCAACAGTGCCACAAAGCTGTGAGTCTCCTCCTTGGTCTAGTTATTGCCCCAGGTGGAGGGCATGGGCATGGGTGCAGTGATAGCTGCGGGCACTAGCATTGGCATGGGCACCGACACAGTAGTGGGCAAGGAGGATGAGGCCATCATGAGTCCCACGCCCAGTTGGTGGTCCTCAACTCAAGGAACCAGAGGGTGGAAGATCTGTGGGGGCAACACATTCACAAAGGAAATAAATAGATGGAAGAAGGCAGCATCTGGTAATTTTGCTGAGCCACTACTTGCAGATGGACCAACACTGTCTATATAGCCCTGTTTAATAGTCTCATGTATGTCCCATGACCTCAGCATCATAAAGTACTGATCCCTCTTTAGTATGTGTGCAGCTCTTGTATGTTAGCTGGAATTCTGGTTCACTAGGCTGAGTCATATGGCTCAGATGTTCAACACAATGGGTGCATCTACACACAACACTTATTCAAGTTGTCTAATTAGCTCCTCAGTAAAGCATCACCATCTACAGGAGTAGTGCTATTAGGCCAGAGTAAAGTAATTAACTCTGTTGCAGGATAGTACTGCCCAACACAGGTACTATTCTATGATAGAGTTTAGTGCACCACAATGCATGTGTAGACAGTGACCAGGGCTTGCTGGAGCATGAGGGTGCTACAGTACAGGGCTGCCTGCCAGCTAGCCCCGCAGCGTAGCACCCTTGTGCCCCAGTCAGCCCCTCCACAACACACTGAGCCAGGCAGCAGCAGCTCCAAGCTGGCAGGCTGACCCCCTGGGCTTCCCACCAGCCAGTGTTGTGCCACCCTGGCTCAGCATGAGGCAGTCCCGGGCATATGTTATAAATGCTGCACCCAGGAGCAATAAGCTCCAGTGCAAACTGTACCAGAGTTTCTGTAATCAAATTCATTTCACACGTAGACATGCCCAGTAAGTTGAACATCTCAAACAGTTTTTGTACAGTTTATATCGCTAGTATTTGATCTTGCCCATCACTTAGATTGGGACTGCCATAATTTAACACATACAAAACACAGAAAATCTCTGAGGCACAAGTAAGCTGGAAGGGAACATGTTTCAAAAGGGAGTTTAGAGGAGTTTTAAGGCCAGTCTTGCTTCAGAGTTCCATTATCTGAAGTGACTCAGAAAAAGGGTTAGTAGGGACTATAACACAAGCACCCTTGTCACATTGAGAGTGCACTCCCTTGAGTGCTCTTGGATTCTCATAGAAGCACAAAGCAATATTTAAATGCACAGAAATGAGCAGACCTGTGGAAACAAGGCTTGTTATGATTTTCACCTTTATCTTCCTAGACTGCTGCACATCTGCATCCCAGGATGACAGCCTGTGTACTGACAGCAGTTCCTGAAAGCCTTTGCCAGAGAATTTCACATCCTTGAGAAACTCTTCTGAGCCCACTCAGACTCTTTCACTTCTTCCATCTTCTTGTTCATTTTCTCAACTTCCTCTGTCAAGAATTTT